ATATAATGCAACCCTAATTTTTTGCTCTTCAGACATTATGGCAAAATGCAGAAAAGGTTAAGTAAACAAATATTTCAAAATGAGTAAGAAAAATAAAAGGGATACTGAAGAATGAATTTTTCAGAATGAATTTTTGAAAAAGGAATGAAGCTCCTTGAGTAAGGAAATATTCTGTGTGAGAGGTACAATAATTGGAGGGTATAGCACATTTAATTTATGCGTTATACCCACCAATCATTGTGGGTCAGTCAATTAATAGGTATAGCGCATGTAATTTATGTATTATATCTTAACGGACAAACGTGTCGTTAAGGTATATCGTATGAATTTCATGCGTTATATATAAAAAGATTACCGATTTTTTTCACTTATTTTTGTAGTTTGAGTCCAAAAACCTAACATTTTGGTTCCGGATTCCATGCATGTTCCCCGTGCAACGTGCACTCACTAAAGCTAAGGGCAAAGATGCAGTCCCTTCATCTTGCCATGACGCTGAACAAATTACTTGGAGTCGTTTGTGTAAGTCTAGGTTCATTGTCCATATAGATTAACTTTACTTCATATATTTACACAATATCTTTCCAACTTATTTATGTCTTGTTAATGTTACTTATGTTTATTATTTTTAACGATATATATGAGGAGGTATAATAGTCAAAATTTCAGCAAGTATTATTTAAACGGACGCCAACTCTGTTTGACCAATTAGTAATGCCCAAAAACAACATCGGCTCTCATGTTCACATTTCCCAACTTTCCTCTAAATCCATTTCGTAGCAGATGGAGAAGAGTTATGAACCTTCCTCCTTTTTTACTTTTCTTGGACTATATGGTTTAATAAATAAAAAAAAAATCAATATTAGAGGAAAAACTTTATTGGTCCAAATAGAGAGGACTAACCGCATTCGAAATATAGAACAAACTGAACAACCAATAGAATACATAAGAATAAAAAATAATGGAGATCAATGCAATAAACACCAAATTAGAGGAGAGATGTTACAAACTTGTCAAATTAGAGGAAAAGCTATATTGTTTTATTAAAATTAATGTTTTAAAAGGCTTTCTTGGAACTCGCCTCGGGGCTAACTTTTGGGCGAAACACTATCAAAATTCCCTGAGGCTTATGTGTGATACTTGTTCTGTGAGGCTTACGCTCCAAGTGTCCAACTATACATCCGAAACACGGGCGGATCTATGTACATGGTTCGGGGTGGTACACCACCTGCAAGCTTCGGCGAAAACTCTCT